CTCAGATGATCAGCATGCCAGCCAGCTATGCTGTCTCTCCACTCTGGAGAAAGGGGGTTAGAAAAGGTCGACTCCAAAAATTTTATATCCCGACTCACCCTACGGTGGTCCGTAACCGGTGGTAAGTTTAGTAATACGGAACCAAACCAGGAAACCAGTTCATACAAGCCGTGTATCACCGGCCTCAAGAAGTTGTCCCCTGAGCTCTGCGGTAACGCAACACTAACCCTCTCTGCTTTAGATACCCGAAGAATCAAACAACTTCCACGGTGTGGGCAGCCGGGAAGTAACAACCGCCCACACACTTCCAAAAGCACACGAAGACTTCCTGAGCATCATTCTCCTCTACCCACATCACCTTCATCTTATTCCCCTACTACAGTTAGTACTATTCTCCAGGCTAGTGAAGCATCTTTAATTCACTCTGTGACCACAAATAACGACGAGAGGGCACAGAAACACCCCAGATAGCCTTTTAAAGCCACGTTATCAACTTCATATCGGAGCTTTTAACGTCAGGACCCTCTGCCAAATCGGACAGCAAGCATCACTAGCAAGAACTCTGGCATCTCGAGCCATGGATGTATGTTGTGTTCCGAAGCCACGCACACAAGACCCAAGTGTGGTCATTCACTTTGAGGAACAATTTAATTGCCCTACAGCCACGCTCAACCTGCCGAACATCCAACAGCTCCCTGAATGGGATATAGACATAGGTCCTCCTTCCTTAACTGAGGTTACTAAAGCTGTCACTAGTCTGAAACGAAGCAAAGCAGCAGGACCTGATGGAATGACTCCAGAGGTATTTAAGTACGGTGGAGACAGTTTACTCTCTGTGTTAACTGAGGTACTAGGCAGTGTCTGGAAATAAGAGGAAGTCCCGTCGGATTGGTGTAAGTCACTGATTATCCCCATATACAAGAAGGGAGACAAGTTTTCCTGTGATAATCACGGGGGGATTAACTTGACTAATATAGTATCTAAAGTACTAGGCTGAATAATATTGCGTAGACTAAGTGGTGCTCGGAAGGCACAAACCCGAGAGAGCCAGGCAGGCTTTAGACCAGGAAGAGGGCTCATTGATCATATCTTCTTCAGATTCTAGAACATAGGAATTCCTACCGGCGTCCAACAGTCATTATATTTCTTGACCTAAAGGCAGCATTCGACTCTGTCGATCGAGAAGTTCTCTGGAGATGCTTGGCTGTAAAGGGAATGCCGAGAAAATAGATTGAACTAATTAAGGCACTCTCCTCGTACTCATGCAGCCAGGTGAGGGCTTACGGCGAGTTGTCATCTGTAGTGGTGACGACTAGTGGTGTCCGTCAGGGATGCCCATTATCCCCATTTCTATTCAATTTCATCATAGATGTATTAATGGACTTAACCCTAAGTGAATTCAGCGACTCAGAGATTGACTTGCTACCAGGGAATAATCTCGTCGACTTAAAATATGCAGATGATATAGTCCTGCTAGGCAAGGACGCCGGAAAAATGAAGAGTCTTCTGAACACCATGAGCTGCAATCTACGAATGCTTGGCATGCAAGTGGCTCCCACCAAATGTAAGATGATGGTTCAGGACTGACTACACCGACTCCTAGTTTAGAAATAGGGAGCGAAGTGGTAGAGCACGTTGACCGCTTCTCTTATTTGGGAAGTACCATCAGCCGCAATGGGTTGATCTCTGACGAAATCTCAGCACGGATACTGAGGGCTAGTTTCGCATATGCCAGTTTATGTCGTCTCTGGCGTAGACGTGATATCCGACTAGCGACCAAAGGGCGGGTGTACTGCTCATCAGTCCGCTCCGTTCTCCTTTATGACCAGCTGTGCGACCTGGACATTGAGAGTAGAAGCGATGAAAAGCCTGGCTAGCTGTCTTTGATCATAGGTGCCTGCGTTCTATCTCTCGTATGAAGTGGCATAATAAGGTGAGTAATATTGAGGTTAGGCTTCGGTTGAGTGCTAGGTAGATTGGAGGGGAAATCAATCGACGAGGCTGTGAAGATACAACGACTGAGATGGTTAGGACATTTGTTATGTATGCCTAGCCATCGCCTTCGTCGACGGGAAATGTTAGCTGATATAGGGTCAGTCTGGAATATAACTAGTGGCGGTCAGACCGAAACATGGCACCAGTCAATGAATTGCACAACAGTTACTTTAAGCCGTGTCGGAAGGTGTAGACTTCCTGGCTGGGGTCCTCGGGACGATAAAAACCAATAGCTGGCGACAATTAGTGATATGGCTCAAAATCGTTCTCAGTGGCGCAGATTACATCTACTCCTTGTTACTTATGATTTCCAATGTAACTATATTGTTCTTCGTTATTATTATTCCTTTGTCTCACACCTCTGTTTACTGTCTCTATTATGCACTTCGACTTTCTTCTCTTGCTTTGTGTGCTACATGGAGTGTGGTGACTTGAACTACCACACATTTGTGCAAAGTTCTATGTCGAAAACGCGCAGCTAAACTGGTAGATACAATTGGAAGTTGATCATAACACTAATTCATTCACTATTATTATGTATACATAACTATAGAGGCTGATGACGGAGTCATCGAAAAGAGTATTCTTTGTTCAATAACCCTTCTTTTGCAAATTTTATTGGGCACTTTTGTTCTTTATTGAAGTGTAACAAATTTAGGTAATTGGATTCTTTGAAAACTTTAAAACCGTTATATATATAACGGTCAAAAGAAAGAGACGTTCTTTAAGGTTTACAGCGATATACACAGCCTTAAATGTATGTGATATTTTACTGATAGATAGTGATTTGTAGGCCATCGATAACTGTTGCAAATCAAATCATCGACCACAAAAACAACGATATTGTCAATAATAATAATAATAAAACATGTCAATGATAACAATGATAGATTTAATTGATTATTTGTTTTCACGATTGTACTTATTATTATTATTGATATTATTATTTTCAATATTATTATTATCCGCTTCATACCAAAAACAGTGCTTATAATACAGTATGGAATTCTCAGTATTTGTCACAATATTACATCTTATTTAATTAATATAAAGTAACTACAGGAATTTGTCCACATTTACAATAGGAATAATGGCGAAAATGTGCAAAGTATACAATAAGAATAATAACTTTAATGATAATAATAATAGTAATAATAACAGTGGGTTAGTTTCAAACAATATTGTCGATACAGCTTGGAAATTTTAGCATATTGCAGAGTATTCAATCTAATATTCTCTTGATATAGCATGGTGAAGGGAAAAATAAAACAATAATAATTATTACAGAGCCTAAATGTCCACACTTATGAGAAAATAAACAAAACAAAAAATGAGAGGACTATAAATATGAGGAGATTTATAACAGTAAAGCCTTATGGTATAAGGGTGAAGAAAATTGCTTATTTACTAATGCAAAGGTTAGTTAGTTAGTTCATGCCTGACACTATTTTCATCACATAAAATACGTGCCATAAAATAAGTATGGTATCATGGAATTATTATACTTAGACGTGCATGCATAAAGTCCAAAAAATGACTTCTTGTAACCGGAAGGTCTTGGGTTCGAATCCCAGTGTGTGCGTACTGCCGATGATTCCCAAACTAGGATGAAACAGCAGCTGTCTAGTACTCCCTGGTTTTCAATAGCTCTCTAACTGATATCAATCCGTGATCAACTCGTAAAAACTTCTTTTACCTGAGGAGAAATAAGGTGAAATCTGTGGGTAAAGTGGATGCTCACAATCCGACAAAATTCCTTTAGCGAATTTGTTGCATGAAATCAAGTCCCTATCAATGAAGACGTCAACGATATGGCCCAATGGGATACCACTCCCCCAAATGACAGTCTTCAGAGTCCTATGAAGTATGACATAGTCTTTTCTAAGCAATCCGGGAAAGAATAAGGGTGAACAGTGAAGAAGAATAGGTAAGATGCGCGAGTTGATAAACTGTAAGAGGAGGGACTGAGTTATGCCCTAACTTCTTAATATAAAAAGTCAGACCGCAGCATAAACTAAATCCAGATTCGAAGAATAAACAACAACAGCCATTGACTTAAGATGTTGATTTCAATTTGAGTCTACATCTACATAGCACACGCAACACCAGTAGGTTTGGATTAATACGGTTGGTTGATGCATTAGACGTTGCAATGTAGCAAAAATGCCACTGAAGACAGGTGGAAGTACTTATTTGAATACTTTACAGTGAGTGTGTATATAAAATTAAAGATATTCGCTACATCCGGAAAAGTACTACATTTTCTACCTTTTATTTGCTTGTCTTTATGTTTCTTACGCTACTTCGCTACTAGTTGAGTGTAGTCGCTTATTACTTCTCTGTATATGTCGTGCAACACCACTTATGCTTATTTCTATAAGTGACACACACACAATATGACTGACTATACTATACAATCATATATTGCTATTATTCCTTTTGGTTACGAGTGGAACATACGCCTTCAGCAGCACACCGCCATTTCACTCTGTCCTCTGTAGTCGTTTTCAGCTGACCTCGTGATTCACCATAAGCATCAATTTCCACCTCCCATAACTTCCTGCATGTCACCCTCGGACGAACAAGTCGTCGCTTGTTTTTAGCATTCCATTCAGTCTCTTGAGCGCGTCATATCAATTAACGGTCTACTCAGTGTATGTACAACCCATCTCTGTTTACTTAAGCATATTTGTCGGATAATAGGTTGTTGGCGGAATTCTCTTTTGTTTACTCTCTCTCTCTCTGGTCAACTACCCAACGATACTCAGTAACTAGCTAGAGAAGGCAGTTGTTGATGGAAATCTGCAGACTGTTGAAAATGCTTATAGTGACGTACACCAAGTCCCTGTACCATATAACAGAAATGACTTGACATCACTGTTTAAAATCCGAATATTTTTTTTCTTATAATGAGTGCTGTAGATTTCTACGCTGATCTCATAGTGAAGAATGCTTATCTTGCTTTTTCGACCCTTCCTTTGACATCTTTCTCCGTACTGCCACACATATTGAAAAAATTTCCGTCTAGATAAGCGAAAGAGGTTACTGCTTTTATATTTCTCCCATTGATGGTTGGGCATTTTTATCACCTTTGTCTTTTCTATCTATATTCACTTGAAGACTTACCGTTTCTGCTAACTCACTACTTTTCACTGTAGATCTTCGAGCTTGTGCGACATTGGTTATTAATTATCGGTGAAGTTCAGATCTTCCAGAGTATTTTTGTCTGTCCAACATATACCCGTCTCATCATCCCTCCACAGTCTGCTCCACATACCTGTCTACCGCAATCCGGAACATCATTTGTGATAGCCGGCGCTCAAGTCTTACTCCTATCTTCACTAAGTTTCCCACTGTAAATCATATGGTATCATCACATAGCTATCGTATAAGAGAGGCATTCAGCGAAGACTTATTGAATGAGATTAACATGGGTAAAAATAGAAGAAGAATTTGAACCAGGAACCCATCATATGAAATTAAGCTCCTTAGAACACATGACGACACCACCACATGTCCGATTTGTGAACTATTTTGCACGCTGAACAAGAAAGAACAAGTGATTACCTTTTTAGTGTTTATTATAAAAATGAAAAGATGAATTAGAAAATTACTATTGACGAAATATTACAATACAGTTATGATGTGTTGATGTTGCTGTTGTTGTTAGCATTACTGTCTTCATTATTTTTAAGGAATTTGTCAGTATTAAAAATAGACGACAAAATAACCAGGGGAATATCAAAAGTTTCATCATTAACAAGAACAATATCATAAAGTGAACTGAATAGTTCCATTCTCTCATCGACCTGTGAATAAAAAGGAAAAGAAAAAAGACACAATGAATGTATATTTAGAGTTCTTACGTAACTCATACATTATGCTTTGGTCGTTGATTCAACTAAACTAGTTATCAGCTTGTAATCTGCATGGTGCTTTATTTCTGGGTCTTGTGAATGCTTCCAACTTCACTGTGATATGATTTCAATAATAATTATTATCAAAACTGAATGTATGTTGCCTTTTTTAATTGAAATTTGTCAACTAAATCTGACGAATAGCTGAGAATAAAAAGTACTGTTAACATCCAAGTTTAAATACTTCAATACCCAGCTATCGGTTAAACGTCCTGACAACGATAAGCTCTATTGAACTCCAACCAAAGGCCCCCAAGGAAAGCATAAAGAAAATCGCCCTTCCATATATAAAGGACATCTCAGGAATCACTGCAACACTCTTCAAACATTTAAGAATTTACGTCGCACACAAACCAACAAAATCACTTCACTCAACCAGTCCTGTGTCAACCAAAAGATTCAACAACGAAATGAGATGAAACCAACATCATCTACGAAAAAAATTGTAACAACTGCGAAAAACACTACATTGGTCGAATTGCACATGCCTTTGGTCTCCGTATCCATGATCATAAGCTAGCCGTCGAAAGACATGACATCCACTCCCTCATATCACTACATACAGATAACCACGGAGATCAATTCGATTGGGACAGCCAACGTTCAAATATTAGACAGATGAAACACCAAGAATGCTAGAGAATTTTTAGAAGACTGCCTGGTATTCCAGTGAATCGTCAATACATAAACACATCAAGATAGACAAAATTTACCAACCGAAGAGAAGAAAATCTCACACACGAAGGGTCCAAGTCCAAGTCAATGAAACATTCAGTTCTAATACAGGTAGCCTAGAGGATGTGAAAACACACAAAAACAACCTATCACATTTATGATCATCAGGAGAGATGACTAATAAACTCGTGGAGAAATCTAAAAGCTCACTTCATCAAATTGAGGTATGCGCTGAAGATGTTGCCTAGTAGGGCAATGAAAGCTTAGCAGATAAACTTTCCAGCTCAGAGAACACAACCACATCGAAATCATCCACCTGTACTACAAATCTTCTCCATCATATCTAATACCGATCTCGGGCACAGCATTGATTAGCCCAGCCCCTCGGTAACCATAGAACAGTTTTTCAATGTTCATATTAACCTAAATCTTGCCGGCTGGTAAATCTGATTAGTATGATTGACTCTGAGTTAAGTACATTAGTAGGATATACTGAAGAGCTTATATATATATATATATATATATATATATATATCAAATGTAACGATGACACACTACTCTTCAACTGAAGAGTTACAATAACTGACTACATTTGGGATTGATGAAAGCTAGAATGTACACAAATGCCCTACAACTATGTGAAACTCCCTCTAAGCCGAATACAATCGGGAAGAATATCTGAGTAGTAAGGAATAGTTATATCAACGTAACGCATCAAACTTATTGATCAAATGTCATACTCATTCAGTTATGTAAAGAAGTGGGAAAAGATGGGAAAGCTTGCTTTTAAATACTTAGGAATCCAAATAATACCAATAAATCTCATAAGAGAACGTTTATAAAAATTTTAAAATAGCATATTTATCTCAGTGACAAACTCCAACAATTTTATAATATTAAATCAAAACATAATGTTAGGGTATATGTAAAATGACACTCCATATATTACTTATTCCATTACTGTCTGTCTGTCTGTTTTCGACATAGAACTTTGCACAAATGTGCGGAAGTTCAAGTCGCCACATTCCGTGTAGCACGCGAAGCAAGAGAAGAAAGTACAAGAAAAGCATAATAGAAACAGTGAGCAGAGGTGTGAGACAAAGGAGTAATAAAGAAATACAAAACAGTTTCATTGAAGATCATAAGTCACAGGGAGTGGATGCATCTGCGCCACTGAGAACGACTTTGAGCCATGTCACCAATTGTTTCCAACCATAGATTTTTACCGTCCCGAGGACCCCAGCCTGGAAGTCTACACCTTTCTACGTGGCTTAGACCAACTGTTGTGGATTTCATTGACTGATGCCAAGTTTTTGTTCGACCGCCGCTAGCTTTTTTCCAGCCTGACCCTATATCCGCTAACATAGCTCGTCGAGGGAGGCGATGGCTTGGCATACGTAACACATGTCCTAACCATCTCAGTCTTTGTAACTTCACGACTTCGTCGATTGATTTCCCCTGTTTACCTAGAACTCGACGCCTAACCTCCATGTTGCTCACCTTATTATGCCACTTTACACGGGAAATAGAACGCAGGCACCTATAATCAAAGACAGCTAGTCTTTTCATGTCTTCCACTCTCAGTGGCCAGGTCTCACAACCATAAAGGAGGACGGAGCGGACTGATGAGCAGTACACCCGCCCTTTGGTCGATAGTCGAACATCTCGTCTACGCCAGAGTCGGCGTAAACTAACAAATGCGAAACGAGCCCCTTGTATTCGTGCTGAGATTTCGTCAGAGATCAGCCCGTTGGGGCTGATGGTACTTCCCAAATAAGTGAAGCGGTCAACGTGCTCTACCACTTCACTTCCTATTTTTAAACTAGGCGTCGATGTAGTCCAGTCCTGTAACATCATCTTGCATTTCACGGCGGGAGCGAATCGCATGCCAAACATTCGTAGATTGCGGCTCAAGGTGTTTAGAAGACTCTGCATTTCGTCAGCATCTTCGCCTAGAAGGACTATATCGTCTGCATATTCCAAGTCAACGAGATTATTCCCCGGTAGCAAGTCAATTCCTGAGTCACTGAAGTCACCTAGGGTTAAGTCCATTAACACATCTATGATGAAGTTGAATAGAAAAGGAGATAATGGGCATCCTTGACGGACACCACTGGTCGTCATCAGTTCAGATGACAGCTCGCCGTAAGCCCTCACCTGGCTGTATGAGTACGAATAGAGTGCCTTAATCAGTACAATATATTTTCTTGGAATTCCCTTTACAGCCAAGCATTTCCAGAGAACTTCCCGATCGACAGAGTCGAATGCTGCCTTTAGGTCAAGAAATATAATGATTGCTGGACGCCGGTAGGAATGCCTATGTTCTAGAATCTGAAGAAGATATGATCAATGAGCCCTCTTCCTGGTCTAAAGCCTGCCTGGCTCTCTCGTGTTTGTGCTTCCCGAGCACCACTCAGTCTACGCATGATTATTGAGCCTAAGACTTTAGATACTATATTAGTCAAGCTAATCCCTCTGTGATTATCACAGGAAGACTTGTCTCCCTTCTTGTATATGGGGATAATCAGTGACTTACACCAACCCGATGGGACTTCTTCTGATTCCCAGACGCTGCCTAGTACCTCAGTTAATCCGGACAGTAAGCTGTCTCCACCGTACTTAAATACCTCTGGCGTCATTCCATTACTATTGAGAACAAGCCTCCGCAAACGACCTAGTACAGCCGAGAGTGAGTAAACTTAAATCTCCCACTGGAAGAAATGCCCTCATGCGGCCACGCATCCATAGCCTCTGTCTGGTAATTCCTATTCACTACCTACACACAGCGGTAATATTCCTCACAGAAGTGAAAGAACGAATGCAAAGGTCTGGCGCTTACAACCGGACTAGTGGACATGCAAGTCTATCTAAGAGAGCTGGAAAACCCTGACTCCGAGCCAATAGCTTACATGGAATCCAGGATCCGAAAGGACCCAACGGAGTATAAACCTGTTTTCCCAGAAACCTTGGGAACCCAGATCCTGACACCGTTTTACTACCATGTGGATCAGAATTCAATTCAAAGGCTCGGCGTGACCTCCTAAGACAACCACTTGCTTCGATCTAGGCGCCTGAGCAGTATCCCAACCCTCGCACAAACTATGAGATTTTGTTTAAAACATCACCTGGGACCCATAAAGTACTAAGTTTGTGTTTTAATAATAATAATATAGAACAGTATTCTCCCCAAACAGAAAAAAAGCAATAACTCCTAACTTTTCTCTCCAATAATAGCTTATTTATAATTAAAAATATGACAGATTAGATCTTTTCAAATGATACCCATAAGGAGTTAAAGGTTAAATAACTTACTTTCTCATTCAAATATCCGATACGAATAACAATAGCCTGTTCACCAGAAAATTTCTGTTTATTATCAAGCATATTTGCATCACTATCCGAGTCTCCAATAAGCAAAGTACAAATCCGCTTTGATAAAACCGTCTCATAATATTCAGAATTTTGTATTATTTTGTATGTTTTATTCAGCGAATGAATAACAGGATCCTGAAATCCAACTAAACGACCCTGTAATGATGTTGTGTGATAGATAATATTGAACAGTCATATATAGCATAACAGATATACTGAATAAACTACAGCTGATGTGAGTATCAAGTTCCTAACTAGTGTGGCAAGATAACAAAACAATAATTGAATACAATAAGACAATGATAATAGCTTCTGAGACTAGTATACATTCTGTAGGTAGCAGGATAGATACAATTCACCAACCAAACATACTTATGAATTACGTGATGACTACCAGTTGCTGTATGAAGAATAACAGATCTGTCAGCCTGTAGTTAAAGACAAATATCTAATAGTCGTCTGTCAAGTACTCTCAACTGAACTAAATCAATAACATGTTGAAAAACAGGTCACCCAATGCTTGAAAATGTTGAGGAAGTTTTCAGTAACCCTAAACGAAAGAGGGTAACACAAATACCCAGAGTTATTTAAGGAAAACAGATCAGTATTATTAGTTAAATTAGGAAGTGAATCCGTTTAATTGGCATCAATAGCTGATTAGCTTAGTCTTCAAGGAATGAGAAAATTTTCCTGGTAATAACCACAGAAGAATTGGCCTGACCAGTATAGTTTCTAAAATTTTAGTTCATAGTTACAGGAAGAGGAACTCCTTTCTACATCTAAATTTAAAACGACTGGCTTCCCTATGGGAAACAAATTAACTGACATACAGTGCACAGATTATAAGACTCTATTTGGCGAATATGATGCAGTCTCCTGAACAGCTTTAATGACAAATGGTGAACATTTCGGAAACCTTTCCCGCCTCAAAACCTCATACCTTTATGAACAGTTTAGGAGATTCACTTGTTTCGTTGTGAAATATGTCATTTTTACGTAAATTCTTCGAATTATCAATTATCTTTTTATGTTCTACGTAAAACAAATTTCTAGTGATCCTCAACGATTGACTACAGTAACATGGAGTTGCACACAATGTGGAAGAGCTACTGATACTACGTGAATGCTCAGACAACAACAGGTGAAGATGGGTTCAAAACAGTGACCCAGTAGTCTTAAGTTGGTGTCTTAATTAATAAGCCACAACTCTGTGATGTTTTGTAAATGTGTATTTGTCGATGCATACATCGTACTGAAACTTACTATGCAATAGCTAAAACCTAACAGTTAATCAAGGCATTTTAACTCATACAAACATAAAGTATGTGAATTTATATATAATAAATTACTACTGCTTACTTCAGCATTAAAATCCATAAAGTTTGAAACAATACGAACATTATCCAGCGATACATTCAATGACGCTAAAAGTACTTCAATAATGTTGCCTATACCACCAGAGAATATAATCAGTGGTATATTCAAATCAGCCAATTTATTCAGAAAGTCGATTGCATTATCCCTAATGATAAATAGGATTATATCAGTAAGACTAATTAAAAGTAACCAAGGAGTAAACAATATAATACAAATAACTCTAAGTGATATTAATCGAATTATAATCCATCCACGTTTTGATGAATGGTGCACAAATGAGTAATACCTCGGATTGATGAAACACTGTTCGTTTTAAGTATTAAGCCGACTGGGTGAGTAGGCAAACAACATGACTTCAGACGCCAGATGCACCGTTAGGTATTATTTTCCAGTAACAATTAGTACCAACTTGTGACTCACTAGTCTACTACTCTTGGCTTTCAGACTAACGATAGCTCAATTGTCCCTGTCATAATAGGGAACCCCTTATAATTTAATGAACAGGACTTACTACCAAGCAATTTAGTACATTTTGAAGGCGAAACAATTGACATTTTAGACTACTTATGGACTGGAAACTAGTAAGCATGTGTATTTTTTTTACTCTGTCATTTTAGATTTTGAAGTTTGTATTAAGCCGCATATAGTGACATAAACAGGTTGAGAAGATACATGCAATTACCTCTACTCAACACTTGAGACTTTTGTCTACAACTAATAATCCCGGCTAAAATTCCTAAGAACTTATCTAGTTCAGCTTCGCTGATAACACTATTAACATATTTTTCGGCCAATAACGTATATTTATTTACACCTGATACCATATGATCAATTTTAGAAATCATACATTGAATGGTAGACACTAAATTCCGTTTTAAAATGTCAGACACCCAAGAATCTTATCACACGAGCGCATCAATACACATTTTGAGTTGAATTCATTTTCCGATAAATAACATTATTCTTGATAAGATCCATTTCAAAAATGACAAGAATTTAGAGAATTATGTCCAATGAAATCACTGTATTTTGGGTTCTGACTGATTAGTTTTACAGAGAAATAGTTTTGAAAAAATGAATGTAAGGCATTCGCGGTTTACTAAAATGAAATTGACTCGAGAGCTATAATGATCTATTCAGCGATAAGTGTGCATTATCCCACTACAAGCCTAATACTTGTCTGAGAAAAATGCAAATACAAAAATGCCTTTACGCAATTTTTCTTCAATATGAATTCGGCATACTAACGAAATATGTACGGATTAACTGTTTCTTCCACTTAGGAAACAGAAAATCTGAAACATGATATATTATAAAATAACTACGAACAAACAACTTTGTTTGAAGTACTTACCTTAGTACTATTCCACCTTCTAAAGCGCAACAGTCGACATCACTTCGATATATATTTCCATCAACCAGTGTTCTGTGAGCAAGCTTCCAAAATTCCATCATCAGAGAACATTTCTCCGACTCACTTAAGTTGTCTGAGCTCCCAAGTGGCATGTAAAGTTCACATAATTCCTCAAGCTGATCAATAACCAGGTATGTAACGAACCTACCCGCCTTCTAGACACTTCGGGTATTCTTGGATGTCTCATGAACAAACCTTACATGAATAAAGAACTAATAAGGTGAGTAACGAGTTACCATGACAAACTGGAACTTTTTCCGAATTATGGCAGTATTTGGACAACGTGTGGTCAAAATCACAAACAACCTTACACTACACTTAACTGAAATATTTTACTTGAATATTCTGCGCTCCGTAACTCAAGAATTTAGATAGCTTATCCACCAGTTTATCATTGACACGAACCAAGCGGTTATCTTTCGACTAAAAGCAAAATATTAAATCAAACATTTACCAGGCTACTTAGCACTCCACAAACACGTTGTGCAGCAGAGCAGTAGTTTTCCCTCTTGGACATCCACACTTGTGTCACATAGACTGAATGCTACAGAGATAAAGAAAACAACATAAAGCCCTCAAATAAAACTGAGAAGTAAATTATAAGCAGCGTTATAATGCTAACAACATTGATATATCAACAAGTGTCTACAAGATTAAGGGCAGTAGGTGCAGTAATCTTGGTGAAATGAAGACGTCATAGACAGAGTTAAAGTCTTTCAAACGTTGACCTTCAAGAACTGATCACACAGGAAATGCTATGAAATATCATTCAAAATCAAAGCATGCCTCTCTAATTGGAGAGCATAACCAAGCTAACTATAGTGCTTAATTAAATCTCACTAATTCTGAAATAACTTTAGCATTCCATAGTGAGTAAATTCCGAATCTCTTCTGAAATGGATTCTTTAATTAAAGAAGCCATTAATGCCACAGACAAGAACTCGGTGCTGGTTTTCAGCATGAATAGCACTAATTTAGCACCGTGTTCTTTTTCTAGGCACTTTCAGCAGTGAATCAGAACCTACTGGGTTTGCTTATCAGCCTTGTTCCAGCCCTCACAGGACATATTAAGCATGGACTAGCGTTACTTTAGAACGTGAAGGCTTCATTCAACACCCAGCTCTCTTTTTAAGCACGGCCAGCGTTATTTCAGAACATAGTGAGTAGACAAAATCTTCATTTACCATAAAAAGGCATTATCGAAGAAAAGGCTGAAATAAGTTTATAATTGTTGTAAGCTTGAGTATATACACTATGCTGCTTATTTACTAGGTACTTTTTCTGCAAATCACCCTATTTTATTTAGAATATCATGGCTATGTAAAGACATACCTTTTACGAGGAATTTAGCAGTCTGTCAAGAACAAAACACAACCAACAATTTGGCTAAGCAAGGCCATTCGACTGAAATTCCGCCAAGGTCAGCCAATCCAATATCCAATGTCGTTTTTACGAGATAGTGTGAACCAATCTGATTTCTTTGTGCTTGCTTCTTTATTGGGAGGTATAGGTTACTGATCTTCGGTAAACTTCTGGATAAATCGTCCCGCCTTTCGACTGTCGTAGTACTGGTTGACTCCAAAAGGAGTAGTGCTGGGATTAGTTACATGTGGTTTGTAGTAGGAGATGTGCTAAGATTGTTATTACTGTGAATGAAGTTGATCCTTTCACCAGTTAGTCTTCCGGTCCGTTAAAAGAAAAAAATTACAATAACAGATACAATTAGTGAAGTTATTCAGACTAACAGGCAGAAAAAGAAATAAGAAAACGTGACAACAGTCAGCTAATTAAATTTTTATTTTTTTATTTTTTATTACAGCTTGATTCCACACCGTATTTTCGGTATATGTACGGAATTTTCAGCATGGATATCGGTAGCCAAAATTTTGCAGACCGACCATAGATATCAGTTGTGCGTCAGGCAGGTGATCAAACCTGCCTGGTGGGCGAGAGTCTTAACCACTGTGCCACCGATGCACAGAATAATATGAATAATATATATCGGTGATAATAATGAGTGTAGTTAAAGTTGTCAGGAGAGTAAGACGTGAGAGCATGCAAGGAAGTAAAACGACGAACTTGGTTGTCTACCCCTGAACAGTGTCTTGGATTTTAAAGGGATAGGCCGACGCAGTCCTTGTGTCACTGCATGATTGTCCAGCCTTTGCTCAAAGGTGTCCAAAGACACTGCGATAGCTACGTCTGCCGGTAAGGAATTCCAGGGATGGCAAACCCACAGTGAAAAGAAGTGGGTGCGCACCCGGGTCCTCGCCCTCTGGTGAGCTATCCTTCAGGGATTTCCACGAGAGAGCCTATACTTACTCAATGGCAGAACACGTTTGTATGGGTGATTCTGGTCATTCGTCATTTTGTAGGCAGTAATTAAATCCCCCCTTAGACGACCGTAGCTTAGTGTGAATAGGCCTAATTTCTTCGGCCTTTCATCATATGGTTTATAATAATAATAATTTATTTTCATATAAACATAAATTTACATGAAAATGCATGCCATTTTTACAGGCACGATCAAGTATGTTATAATGTCAAATCTTAAATTGTCTACAAGTTAATAATGTTTCAACAGTTAAATATTTGATATATATATATAATTACACTCATTGTCTGAACCAGGCCGTATAGTTATTGAATTGTGCAGTTGTCCTCCAGGTTTCGCAGGAAAATCGACTTCGTTTCGTTTTCATCCCGTGGTTGTAGGCATACGATAACCAACCAATATTGAGGTAAGTACAACGTTTACAAGGGATTGGAAGCTGTTTTATAAAAAGTTAAAGTGCTAAGGTGAAACATTAAAGTGAGTGAAATATATCATTAATAAACACATTTATGTAGAAAACAGAATGGGGAAGTAATTAATCCTTAGGCCGACAACGTTCATTTGCAATGTATAATAACACCAATATATTTTGTACTATCATGATGTCCACTTTTGGCTTTAATACAATTATTTTCAAGCCAGTTGTTTTTATTTCATGCTTTTTGTCTATTTGGTGCACAACCGTACCCTCCAGAGAATAGGAATAGAATAAGTCGAATCAAATTCATAAAGAGCTATAAAATGTTAGGTTTAATGGAATATAATGAGGATCAAGTAAAGACGTTATTAGAAAATAAGTGAGATAAGACATTTTGAAGTGGTATTTAAAGATCTGACAATGGATAGCAAGTTAATTTATAAGATGCCCCATAAATCTGTGCAGATCCCACATGGTCGCATCTCAACAATAGGCTGAGGGAATGGTATATATTTAAAGGTAGAAGCATGATCTGTCAAGGCGTTCATTATTATCTTTTTCAAGATAAAGATCTAAGCCCTCATAAAAATCAGAAATATCTCGAGCCTTCAAATTGCGTATTGCTGTTCCTGCAGAATGGGGTGATTCACCTTAGTGATCACCACCATATCTACTGATCAGCTAGCACCACCCTCCCTCCTTTTTTGATGTTAGGCTCTGAGACTATGATTATTATGGCTACCGCAAATATATTGCTTGGTACCAGACATGTTCGTACCCCATATTCCATCTCCCTAGCTTTCTTAATGAGTGCTTCCAATAGGTCTCCACGTACATCTTTACGAACATATTATATATGTGTGCATGCATCCTAATGAACAGATTACTTTATAAGAAGTTAAAAACTTAAAGAGTAAAACGAATAGGTATTGTGAATAGTGGAGCAAGATTTAGCAGAACACTATAGTTAAGGTTCAATTTAGGTAGTATGGACTGAAGGTAAGGTCGGTTGGCAGGACTTAGTGTACTTACATATAGTAAACATCTGACATTGCAAAGTAACGTGTCTAGACATATTATAAAAAGATATTAACACAGAACCAACAAAATTTTGGCATTTGGTTAACAATACTGCAGTGTGTGTATACTGAAGAATGGTAGTTAGTCTACAGGGAGCCGTAGAGTAAATCAAACCATATATGATAAGAGTATAATCAATAATATAATTCGTATATCAAATAATACACTAGGCTCAATAATTGAGTGTTATAAGGGAAACAAGCGTGGTAAAGCAAGAGAACATTTGATGCATAAATATTTTAATCATTTTAAGTATTTTAATGACAATCTAATTTAAGAATTGAACATGCATGATTAATAAGTATTATTATATTAGTATATACATATGTAAAACGTTAAAGGTGTGGATGCTATTACAATTATTTCCAGTGTTACTTTTACCAACACAACTTAGTGAAAATTATAGAGAATAGAAATCAGTAAATTAGTTAACGTTCGCTGCGTGAGTATTAGAGTCGAGATATACGTATGTGACTATACTGAAGACTGGACTGGCCTTCAATTTCCGTTCTACCAACAGTTGTGGTCTTTTAGACGAGCTAGGGTGGACATGTTAAAGTGTCTTTCTAGGCTCCGTTTGAACCCATCAGGGTTTTCACAACATCTTATTTCAGGTGGTAGTTGGTTCCAAAGAGTGCAATATTTTATGGTGAAAAAGTTTGCCCTAATGGATTTTCTGTGGGTAGCCACCTTGACAAGGTAGTCGTGGTTTCGCAGCTGATATGATTTAATATTTTCCCACGTTATGGATGAGTTACTGTAGCAGTGTTTCCTAATGACTTTGAAGAGTAGAAATAGGTTGCACTTCACTCTCCTTAACCACAGAGGCTCTAATTTCAGACGTACACACCTGTCAACATATTCCACTTGTTGGTCGAACCCTATTATGCGTTTCGTGAGGAATCTCTGGACACTTTCGATTTTTTTCTGTCTACAGACCTGAGGTTACTAAATAGGAGAGCACAATATTCAAGTTTGGGACGGATACATGTCCTATATATAGCTAATCTTGCTTCTTGGGTGTAGAAGTTACGCAGTACAAAGCCAGTAAGTCGTTTACAGTCAGATACAACCTGGTTTGCATGATCGGAAAAGGATAAATCTGAGTATGTTATCCCGAGATCTGTGACTGTGTTCAGTTTTGAGAGGGGCTTACCGTACATAAATAGGCACATTATCGGTTTCCAGCGTCCAAGGTGGGTTATACCGCACTTGTCTGGGTTGAAAGTCAGTTGCCACTTTTCGCTCCAATCGCCTAGGTAGTTTAAGTCTTGTTGGATCTTGCTTTCGACGCTCATATCACCGTACCCATAATCATATACTATCTTGAGATCATCTGCAAAAAGGTATGGCTTGCCATACTTTATTACAGAGACTATGTCATTTATAAATAAGAGGAACAGAATAGGGCCAAGAACACTACCTTGTATTACACCACTGGTTATCGGCTTTGAGGAAGACAACTGGTGGTTGATTTTGACTAAGTAATGTCTCTCTGCGAGAAAAGAAATTATCCATATGTGAAGCGTTCCGGTTATTCCGTATGATTGGAGATTTGTTAGGAGTCTGATATGTAGGAATTTATCGAAGGCCTTGCTAACGTCGAGAAACAATGTTGTTACCGAACGCCCATTGTCAATGGAGTTGAAGATTGAACGATCAATTCTTGGTTGTTTGCTCAAAATCAACTTCCCCAATTTTCGCGGAGGAATCAATACGACAGTCATCGTCTCATCGGTCGCTGTTCAGAAAGAAGAGTGAAACATCGTCAGAAGTAATACAATGATTTATTATTGTAATATTTGTTTACAGATATAAGTTCGCTTATTCCTTTTATATGTTGGTGTAACAATAAACAAATCTAAAGCGGCAGATCAGTGTTTTGGATTTTACCGTCCGTTATAAATAAGCGTTTCTGAGAAATCTTCGAGGAAAAGCGTGGGCACGAGCGTAGCGAGAGCTGGGCATTAACGGTTTATGAGACGTGATTGACAGTTTCTGACGATGAAACAGATCTGGCGGATTCAAACAGTTGGTGGAAGTTTGGATAGTCGCCGTTCATTTTTCCTGTTGCCGGTCAAGTCCTCTTTGAACAAGCGATATCTGGAACTTTTTTGGAATTGGGTCAAGTTCAACAATGACTGGGTCAAAGAAGGGACAGAGTGTCTTGGATGCAAACAGGAAAGTAAGTCATGGTGACTTGTCTGTTAATTGCAACGACGTGTCTGATGTTAAGTATGACATGGTTGATGTTACTGTTTCGCCGTTCAGGGATAATAGGAACATCAAACTCCCTAAATTTGAACCACGATGTTTTGATGGAAACCCGGCTGATTATTTACAATTTGTAAAGGAGTTTGAGATCATGTTGAGTAGTTCTCCATTAAGTGATGAATTGAAGTTAATGTATTTGATGAGGTATTGCACTGGAATTGCTGCAAGAGCTATACAGTGCTGTGAGTTTATGAAGCCAAAAGAGGGCTACTACGAGGCTATGAGCATATTACGTCAAAGGTTTGGAAGACCTTCGATGATTGCAGGGAAATTATTCGAGGCTGTTAAGGGTAATGGTAGTCAATTACAGGATGACTCCCAGGCACTC